GTTTATTTTCTAAATCATGTTGATGTTTAAGGTGTTCAGGTAGAACTAAAGAATTAACAGGGTCTACAGCTCATACAAGTCATACAAGCATACCATAAATTTCTTGCTTTATTCTGAAAGCAAGAAAAATGTTTTCAGCAGGGAAATACTACGATCAGATCTAGTTAATAACTGCGGGAAATGGGGTATGGGTAGAGTGTAGAGGCAAATGCAAAAACTCAAGTATTAATATTCAAGAAAGGGTGAGGCAATCACAGCAAAGACAAGCAGGAAATAAACTAGAATAAGACTTGATCATTAATTACAAGTGTGGAATGGAAAAAAGGAAATAAGAGATAAAGCACAGATTTCTGTCTTTAGTGACTGGGTGAAAGTTAATGCCAATTATCAGGATAAGAGTTTATTTGTAGTGAAAAATCATGAATTCAGACATCCAGCTGGAGATGTCAAACAGGCCTTTGAATATGGAGTCTAGGACTCAAGAGAGGTCAGGTCTAGAGGTAAAGATGTGAGGGACATATACATGTGAATGATACCAGTGCTAATAGGTGAGATTGTCTAGGCAAAGTTTATATACCGTGGGTGCCAAAAAAAGACTACAATTAAAGAACAATGAATTAAACAAGAATAATGTACAAAGGAAACAGAGAAAGGAAAAACAGAGTGTAACAGGCTAGAAAGAATTTGAAAATACAGATCAGTGAATAAACAGTAGGGTAAAATCCCAGTCCTGGAAGAAACAAGTGATGTGATCAAGAAAATAAGAGGAGGAAAAAAGCCCTGAACAGGAAAATGGATACTTCTTCCTCTGAGACTAGAGACAGAAATATATAAATCTACAGACACAGAGGCAGAAAATCAAGACATTAACACTGACGAACAACAGCTCTCAAAGTGTGGGGAAGACATTTTCAGGGACCCTTAAAGTTAAAACTTTTTTCATAATAATGCTATAACAATAATTGTCTTTTTCATTCTCATTCCTCAGGAGTGTAGAGTGTACTTTTCAAGAAGCTATGTGAAGTGTAATATAACAACCGACAAAATGCAGAAGCACATATGAGGATTCAGCAGTCTTCTCTTAATCTAGGCATTTTACAAAGATTTGCAAAAATGCTTAACAATGCTACTCTTCTCACTAATTTTCTGTTTGTTCAGGAAATAGATATTTTCATTAAAAATGTAGTGCATGTTAACATGTAATGAGTGTTATTTTCATACAAATTAATGAATATTTTAAATTTCTCAGTTTTAATATCTAATATATGGTAAATATAGATAGATTTAACCTATACAACAAAAGCTGGGGGTCCTCAATCATTTAAGACTTGTAATGGGTTACTGAGACAAAAAGTTTGAGAACCGCTGACCTAGAGCAGCAAGAGAATGAAATAGGAATCAAAAAAAGAGAATCATGTAAAATATAAATGTGGTCACAAGTAGTTCCAGTAAACTAGTGACCCAGTACTGCTGCTTCTAGAGTCACATCCAGTTTATGTTTAGCCCCACCAGGAACAAAACAAAACAGATAACTCTGAAGGAATATAGCAAAATAGTTAAATCCATGGGCCCTAGAACAAGACTTCCTAATCTTCAAATTTGTAATCTTCAAATCTTGGCTCTACCCCTATTTGATCACCCCAAGCGAGTCATTTAACCTTGGTATGCTTGAATTTTTTTCACCTATGAAATAGAAATGATATTAGTGGTACCTACCACATACAGAATTGCAATTAAGAATAAATGAGTTAGACCAAGTTGTACATCTGAAACTTATGTAATGCTATTAACCAATATTATCCCGATAAAGTTTTTTAAATGATTAAATGTATTACTACATATAAAGTGTTTAGTAAAATACCCGACACTGATGGTCATTGTTAGTTGTCATGGTGGTTGGTGGTGGTTACTATTTTCATACATCGTTTTGGCTGACTATACGGACAACCTATCTCAAATGTGTTAGTGACTACCAGGAACTGGAGAGCATTGAGGCACCACAGAAGAGCTTTATCAGTGA